GAGAATTCAAAATCTGCCTGGTGACAAGATCACCAAATGAGGGGTCAGATCAGAACGAGGTCAAGAAACCAACCAAGAAACGAGGATGAAGGACAACCAGGATGACGTCAGATCATTTGCATGACTCTTATTATAAGTTCTCTATGCAGAGGAAACTCGGGGTTCCAGCTTCCTGCAGCAGCTTTGCACTGACTTCTCTGTGTGATAGGGCTTCAGATAGAGACGGAACCCAGAGCTCTGTATTGCTTGTCTTGAATATTGTTTTCTTCATCAAGATTGTAATAAATATTTTAAAGATTGTTCTGACTTCGACCCTTCCTCAGAAATGAACATGCGGGACGCTTAGGTCCTTCAAATGCTATTAAGCATTCCTCACAGTTGTCATTACCACTGGAAAAGTGTTTTCTTCCCAGGAGTCATGGCAGAGAGAACATAGAACACCCGTTCACTCAGACATTGTTAGATAGTCTGCCCACTTCTCTCTGGTCCTCTGGTCCTACGGGTGTGGGACTTCTCCATGTGGAGCCTATCATCATACCTCTACGTGCTGGGGCGGTACCAGTGTACAGAGCTCAGTATCCACTGAAGCCTGAGCAAATTAGTGGCATCCAAAACACAATTAAAGGGCTTTTGCAAGCGAGAGTTTGCTTCATCTCCTTGGAACACGCCTATAAATCCAGTGCCTAAAGCTGGGAAACCTGACTACAGGATTCGATTTGTCAACAAACTTGTGGTCCCTACAAACTATGCCACTCCAAATCCTTATACCATGCTCAATGCTATAAGTTCATCACACAAGTTTTTCACATGCATTGAACTGGAAAATGCCTTTTTCTCTATGCCACTGCATCCTGATTCATATGATTTGTTTGCTTTCACGTATCAGGGACAACAATTTACCTACCGACGGCTGCCGCAGGGTTTCATTGACTCCCCCTCCATCTTTAATCACATTTTGCGACAAAACTTGAAGGATCTATCACTTCCACAAGGGGTTACTTTGTTACAATATGTTGATGACCTTTTGTTAGCGGCTCCTGACTCAGAAACCATTATGACAGCCACTGGATCCTTGCTGTCACAATTAGCCAGGAATGGCTTCAAGATCTTCAAAGACAAACTGCAGATTGGGAGACTTCGAGTCTCCTTTCTGGGACGTGTGGTGTCTGCTTCTGGCCTGCATATGACTGAGTCACAAAAAACTGATATTCCCGCACATTTTAAGCCCACTACTGTTAAGACCATGATGCAATTCTTAGGGCTTATTAATTACAGCAAGAATTTTGTGCCCGATTTCACCGGCCTTGTGGCACCTCTCCATGCCATGTTTACAGAGGCGGGCTACAAGAATTATGGTTCTACTCTGTTGTCGACTCCACAAGCAGAGGAGGCTTTTGTTGCCATAAAACAGGCTCTGGCATACGCATGTGCTTTGCATGCTCCTGACTACTCACAGCCTTTTCATTTGGATGTTGATGAAAAGGACAGCACTGTAAATGCCTACCTATTTCAAAAGGTGGAGGAAAGTAGAGGACACAACTGAAAGGTGTTGATGTACTACAGCTCTAAGTTGGACAATGTTGAAAAGGGACATCCAATTTGTGTGAGACATCACTGCAATTGGCTGAGCGATACTGAAAATATCACATATCACAATGCGTTATCAAACTTTTGTACACACTACACATTCAAACTGTTGTACACACTACACATGGGCAGAATTCCAAAGCTTTTATATTGTCTGCACATAGGACCCAGAACTTACAACAGCTATTGAACCAGGCTCACATACAATTTACAAGTGAGGGAACAAACATGGCTACGCAGATGGTCACTGAGCAAGATCATGATTGCGTGAGCAAAACAGACAGAGATGAGACTGCATGAGAACCTGCACAAGGAGCCGCTACCTAATGCAGAGGTAACATTGTACTGTGATGGTCACAGTCATCAGACTGCCACTGGCAATCTAGTTGCTTCATATGCTGTGGCCGAGGACACAATGGCTGGCTTAAGAGTACTGCAAGCTGATGTGATTCCACAGCCAAGTTCAGCCCAGATGGCTGAGCTGATTGCTCTTATAGAGGCATGTCAGTTGTCAAAAGGCAAAGTTGTAAATATCTACACACATTCG